CATAACATTTATGTCAATAACGGAGTTTTCATATTAGCTGCTATGAGAGCTTCTGGTTTTGGGAATTCTGGCTACGCGTCTCTCATTCACCAATGGTAATGTTTAGTTGGATTTTAGGAACTTCCCCTCGATTCTATTGGCTCTAACGGTTAAAAAGAGGTGTCAATCATCAAAATCGACCGATGGGTTCCAGAGATATAGAAAATCCACCCAAATGACCCCAGAAGTGGGTTTTCTTTTTGCTAAACCTCTATATAAAGGTCAAAGGTCACTTGTTTTGCATCAATCTTGATACAGGGCACTTAGAATATGTTGTACTTTGGATTCCTAAAGCTTTTAGTCTACCTCATCATTCAAGGGTGGTTTTCATTATAAGTCATGTTTTATTTTTTGGACGGATGTTCAATCTGAATTTACTTTAAAATAAAAAACATCTATATTGATTCTGACTTTTCTACATCCAGCTCACAGGTTTATCATTACTTTGAGAATAAAGATTATTAATTTAACCCTTTTAGAAGTTATGGTCATTTGTTCTGGGAATGTCATTTTCGAGCCTGAGACCTGAAAAACAGGCTCAGGGCTTAACAGGTTAAAAATACTTTAGGTGTAAATACTTGTCCCGTTTTAATGCTAAATTGTTTCTTAAAAATACTTGTTTTTTATTATCCTTATATATTTCTTTTTTTTTAATCTACTTTGCAATTTATTTCTTTAGATTGTTTATTTTTAGCACCACCAGATACCAAAGCAAATTCCTTGTATGTGTGAACGTAATAAACTTGATTCTGATTCTGATCAAAACAGCTTGCAGGTTATTGATTGGTTCAGATGAAACACCAATAAAGGGTTTGATTTGATTTAATGTGTAAAACAATAATACAAACATTTAACATGAGAATTATTATGCAATACAAAAAATAAGCAGTGTCAAATTGATACACAAAGATATGACTCTACTTAATTAACACATCTGAAAAGGGGTGGGAAGAAGTTTACACTTATTTAATCCCACCCCTTCTCCCAAAAACTAAATTATTAACATATATATTTATGCAGATAAATAAACAGATAAATAAACAAACAAATACATAACAGAGGTCAATGATATTCAAATAAATAAACCTTAAGCACCCAGTTCTGATTAAACAGCGTCATCCCTGTATCTTGTTAACATCATGTCCTTAAAACTTTTTTTAAACAGTTTTAAATGAAAGCGATTCAATGCAAAAAAAAACATCTTTTCAGAGGGTGAAACTAAAAAGACCCGAGGTGAAGAACCATCATTTCTCTCTGAGCTAATTTCAGGAAACCAATTTAATTTAATGACGTTCGGGTCGCATTAAGTTCTTCATGCTCTCTCTCTGATTATAACACTGTGATATGATTACATTAACGCTTGATTTCAACTTCATATCACTCTTTGTAATGTTCCTCCATTGTCTCTTTCACTCCCGAGAGCACACGTTTCTGGAAGCTTCATGCGACCTAAGAAGTAGATTTAATTGAAATGATTTCAGATGTGTGTGTGTGTGTGTGTGTGTGTGTGTGTGTGTGTGTGTGTGTGTGTGTGTGTGTGTGTGTGTGTGTGTGTGTGTGTGTGTGTGTGTGTGTGGTGTGTGTGTGTGTGTGTGTGTGTGTGTGTGTGTGGGCGAGAGTGTGTGTGTTTACAGCAGGTGTGAAGATCTTTTTCCAGTGTATGACGCTTTTCACACTTTACATGTAGAGGTACTGACTTGTGAACAACGAATCCTCCATCTGTAGCTCTTCATCCTCTCCTCTTCCTCCTCACATGACATTACCATGTGTTTAAGTTCACTTTATAACAAATGCTTCAACATTTTGGTAAGAACGACTGGAGCTGGTTGAGAGTTTTGATCCCATGTTCACATCAGTGGAAGAAACAGAGCTAATGCCAGAAGACTCTTCAGTTAGCTTAGCATCAACTAGAGAGCAACAACAGGGGTTAACAAAAAGGTGTTTGTCTTCACCTCAACATATAGAAGGTTTCTCATTTCACTAACAAGTATGAGAGCACTCATAATAACGTAACACAATCAGAGACTGGAGATATCTATAGCTTGAGTCACATTGCAGTCATTTCATGTCTCTTTGTATTACTTCTTGTTGGTGTCATTGTACTCTTTTGTAAGTCTTTGTTGCCTGTTTGTTCATATTTACATTAGTTTTTGTATTTCTTTTGTCATTTAAAGGGGACCTATCATGCAAAATGCACTTTTGTACGTCTTTTCTACATGAATATGTGTCCCCGGTGTTCCAGGGAACTCACCAAGTGTCAGAAAACACAACCCTCTCTATTTTCCTCCATACCCATATCTCTAAAAAAGGGGCTGCAACGGATCTGATAAAAACTGATCCAGATTTGAACACTGTCCTGACGTCAGGACGGTGGCGCTACGGCTATTGGGCCAGAGTTTCAGTTAGGTTTTCTTTCGCCGGTCAAGATGTCCGTTAAAGTTTAAATCTTCCGGACAAAATGAGAAAAGTGCCGGTCAAAGTCCGGTAATTACCGGCTAACGGGAACTCTGATCAAGACTCAATACATGGAAATGGACAACCATGACAATTAATGGACAACAAATCAACTAGACGTCACTGCGAAAGCATTGAGCTCTGTCAAGGACCAATGGTGCGTTCAGGTGCTCCTCTGATGGTCCCATTAAGAAGTGCCGGTCAAAGGTCTTCTTTGTTATTTATTGAGCTTTAAAACAAATGAATAACGACTCTATATAATAATAGGCTATAATAAAACACGGAGGACGGAGATCTATTTTTCTCTGACTTGATCAGAGAGCACGCTCCCCTCTCCTGCACGGGGGCGTGGTCAAAATACACACTCTAATTTAAATAGTTTTTATTAGTAAATAATGATGTTCAAAATAAAATAGTCCCTCTGTTGCCTTCTGCACGAAACATAGTGCGAGGTGGTTGCTATGCAACAACACTAACAACAGCTAGCGAACATATTAGACAGAGAGCGTTGATCCATTATTTGGCTATTTATTTACATTAATGTGTATGTTGCCGTTTATTGTGCACCCACTGAAAAACTGTCCAGCATCAGTAGCATGGCTTACGTGGTTACTTGTATAGGCTGAGGTTGTTCGAGGCTGTTGCTTGGCGTGGCGAGAATATTGCTCCACTTTCTCCGGTCCCCGAGATTCGGCTTCCAGTAGCTCTGGAGAGAGCTTTCGCACCTGTGGCCACTAACGGTCATCATTTCTCTGCTTTGTTTCAAGACCCGCATCAGAAAGCTTTTGAATGGTGATACTTTTCTAGTTGGTCTACCTGCTCTTCACGTAGCTCTGCATGTCTTCGTTTAGCAGGGGGCTTTTGTTCTGGAGATAGGCACTCCTCCTCAAGCCACTCCTCCATAGTAAGACCACCCCGGAGGTCGAAGTTAATCTTAAATGTGTCCATGTTATGCTTTGTAAGTTTGTTTCGTAACGGAAGAAATGTAAATATATTTATAAACGGACAAGTCAAATCAAGCAATCTGATTGGTCGATAGCGTTTTTGCGGACCTTTTTGATTACAGATTTGAAAACATCGTTGCTTGCTTTAAAAGTAGCACAATTCATGATGTCAAACCTTGGAAAGTATCTAGATATCCCTGTCCTAATGCCAAAGGAACTGCACACTGAATATGTTTTGCCGTTTGATGTCTATGTCTGGACCGCTGCGTAAAAAGGAGGGTTTCTGCCGTTACTTCTCCGCTGCTTTCTTGTTCCAGTTTGAAAAGCAAACTGCAGGCAGTTTGCTTTTCGGGCCAACTGTATACTGTTTATCTCAGACGCGGAGGGATACTGACTTGTTGTGAAAAGTAACTTACAATTCTACCCGTGGTATATGCTCAGTATACCACGGCTAAGAACCAATCAGATTGCTTGATTTGGCTTGTCCGTTTTATAAATATACCTTATATAGGTATGGCCCTACAATATATCATTTAAATATAGCATGATAGGTCCACTTTAAATTTCTCTGTAGTCAGTTTTAGACTCTTTATAGTCACCTCTGTTATGATCCGTATTGGTTTTCCCCGTTTTATTTTGTCATGTCACGATCTGTCTTTGTTCAAGACGCCCCCTGTGATATGTCTGTTGTCACTTCCTGTCTCTGTTTGATTACCTGACTGTGGCCGTTTCTCAATGTCGAGTACACCTGCTGCTGAGCCACTATTTCAAGTATACTACGTCATCGAGTGGCGCCGAATGCTGGGCATTTAACGTGCATTTAAAGAGTCCTTCGGCGCCACTCGATGACGTAGTATACTTGAAATAGTGGCTCAGCAGCAGGTATACTCGACATTGAGAAACGGCCTCTGTTCACCTCTTCCCTCCCCACCTGTGTCTTGTTCTTGTGATTAGTCTTGTCTGCATTTAAGTTCTGGTTTTTCTTACAGTCTTTGTCAGAGTCTTGATGTTGTTGGACAGATTTTTCGTGTCTCTTTATAATCATTTTGAGTTATTTTTCAGATTTGTTTTGCCATTTTATGTCTCTTTATAGTTATTTAAAGTGTCACCAGACTCAGGGACAGGGTTTCATCCCACAGGCCATGAGACTGCTAAACACCTGAACTCTGTTAAGTTCTGTTAAACACGTCATCTTGCAATCTACTTATTTATCTAAATAGTTATCACCGCAATAAACCGTATTTAATTATTGTACATATCATATTCTATGTACATGTATATAGACTTCTTGCACTATTATATATGTTGCATTGTTGGAGGAGCTCAGGTCAGAAGAATTTCATTGCCATTTCTACACTGTAGCTTTGTGACAATAAAACATTTCAATCTTGAATTTTGAAATCTTGAATCTTTCTGGTTGATCCATGTCTCTTTGAGTGGAATATTGCAGCCCCCTGACCCATTACGCTCCTTATCCATTACCTTCAAGACCCTTTCACTAATCCCTCCATGATCTCAGGTGTTCCTCTGCATCCTAACATCTCCATCTCCCCCCTCCTGCAGGTACATGGCCATCATCCACCCCCTGCAGCAGCGCATGTCCTCCACGGAGACCAAGGTAGTGGTGGGGGTGATCTGGGTCCTCGCTCTGCTGCTGGCCCTCCCTCAGTATTACTACTCCAACACGGACCAGCTGCCCGACCGCGTGGTCTGCTACATCGACTGGCCCGAGTACAGCCTGCTCGACTTCAAAAAGATGTGAGTGTGATGTTTAATATTATCATTTACTGTAATAGAGAGATGTTTTAGTCGTATCACTGTTCATGTTTTATTTACACTTTGGGCTGCGTCAAGCATGAAAGGTGCTATATGAATCAAGTTTATTATTATTATTATTATTATTATTATTATTATTATTATTATTATTATTATTATTATTATTATTATATAATACAACATTATATTTGAATATACAGCAAACTGTAGCTCTGTGTTATCAGATAGGGAGTTGTGTTTGCACTGGATAGCACTCTCAAGGACGCAGGTGTTTCACTCTCTTCACACACACTCTTCACACACACTCTTCATTCAGACTTTCACACTCTTGTCGTGAACATGTTATCCTATTCTGCGCAGGAAAGCTTATTCAATATTCAAAGAAAATCTCTTGACTTGAATTTCTATGAAATATTTCCACCAGAGTCCCTGTCAGAGGTACTTCAAGTCCTCAGATCTTGTACTTGAGTAAAAGTAGAAGTACTCAGGTCTTGTACTTGAGTAAAAGTAGAAGTACTCAGATCTTGTACTTGAGTAAAAGTAGAAGTACTCAGGTCTTGTACTTGAGTAAAAGTAGAAGTACTCAGATCTTGTACTTGAGTAAAAGTAGAAGTACTCAGATCTTGTACTTGAGTCAAGTAGAAGTACCAGAGTGTAGGAATACTCTGTTACAGTAAAAGTCCTGCATTCAAAATGTTCCTCAAGTAAAAGTATAAAAGTATTATCATCAAAATATAGTTAAAGTAGTGACAGTGAAAGTAGTCATTGTGCAGATTGGTCCATTTCAGAATAATATATATGATATGTTTTATAATGATTGATCATGAAAGTGTTCTCAAAGCTGGTAAAGGTGCAGCTAGTTTGAATGACTTTGTATACTGCAGGGTAGCTTGTGAATTTACTCCAGGTGGAACTAAAGTCTGATTTAACACTTGAGTATATTTCACATCATTCATCCAGATCTGTGAAGTAACTAAAGGAATTACATACATGTAGTGGAGTAGAAGTAAATAACAGGAAATAGTAGTAAAGTACAAGTACCTCAAAATTGTGAGTACTTGAGTAAATGTATTTACTTTATGAACGCCGTTAATCACTAAGGAGGATGTTGTTTGTGTTTGGTGTAAAATGAGCGAGCGCTGCAGAAAGCACGGAGGCTTCTCAGAGAATAAATTGATGGCACATCACGGGGGAGTTACTGAAAGCAGGCGGATAGAAAGGGCTAAAAAGAGCAATTACATTTGAATGGAACACCATTTAATTATAATTCTGCTGCTACAGCTATAGAAGAAGACAGTTCAGCAGGTGCAAAACATTTCAAGACATAAAAACACGAACACAAAAAAACCATTGAGAGTAATTTCGGCATTTTAAAGCAAGTCAAAAGAATATCACGACCGACAAATCCATGAGGAGATTCTTACTGAGGAGCATTACTAAGAGCAGTTATTTCCCATGTGGTCCTGGATGAACACATGCAAACACATAGAAATAAAAATATGAATCGACTTTTCCCCGATGCAACTCCACTGGTTCAGACTCCATCCTCAAAGTCAGTCAATCATAGGAATAACAATAAGCTTTTGAAGAATCAGTTTTTAAAAAAAAGCTTGATTACACATTGACGTCAGTGCGTAAATATAACTCCAGACACTAAAAAGTGACGCACACAGCTGGGAGACCAGGGGACACTAAAGAGTGACGCACACAGCTGGGAGACCAGGGGACGCTAAAGAGTGACACACACAGCTGGGAGACCAGGGGACACTAAAGAGTGACGCACACAGCTGGGAGACCAGGGGACACTAAAGAGTGACGCACACAGCTGGGAGACCAGGGGACACTAAAGAGTGACGCACACAGCTGGGAGACCAGGGGACACTAAAGAGTGACGCACACAGCTGGGAGACCAGGGGACACTAAAAAGTGACGCACACAGCTGGGAGACCAGGGGACACTAAAGAGTGACGCACACAGCTGGGAGACCAGGGGACACTAAAGAGTGACGCACACAGCTGGGAGACCAGGGGACACTAAAGAGTGACGCACACAGCTGGGAGACCAGGGGACACTAAAGAGTGACGCACACAGCTGGGAGACCAGGGGACACTAAAGAGTGACGCACACAGCTGGGAGACCAGGGGACACTAAAGAGTGACGCACACAGCTGGGAGACCAGGGGACAATAAAGAGTGACGCACACAGCTGGAACAGCTTGGTGACGTTCAGGATTATAAAGCTGAACAACTGTCTCTGTCTCAGAGTTAGTCGTCTCTTAACTGTCAGTGTTTGTCAGTATATCTGAAATGACTAGGTTAGCTACGTTAGCTAGCTAGCTTACAGCAGATCTGCAGTAACATCAGAAAGAGTCATGTGATCACTTTGTTAAAATTGACCATAAAACATTTTAGGTAGGTTTCCAACAACAGACAGGGTTAAACTTCCTCCAACACTGAATCTTTTGTCATCAAAACACAACAGAGTGTTTTAAAGACTAACCCCGTGTATACCTGCGTTATTTATTCCAATTTAGCTCGAAATCTAGCCAGCTTTCTTTGCAATCCTCCCTGAATGAAATAGCCTCATGTAGAGCTGATTTTATATTGTTAGGCCTTTATATGAAGCGACATATTTACAAAGTGCTGCAGGGAATTTAAATGTCTAAATGTCTTCATGTCTAATGGACAGTTTTAGTCCTGAAGCATACTGAGTGTTTCAGAGTCATGCAGGGTCACAGTCTGGTCGTCAATAGCTCTCTCTCTCCCTCTGTTTTCAGCCCTGTGTTGTGATGTTTCGTAGATTGTAGTTATTTTCCTACACGCAGTAAAACCTGTGTTGCTGTGATTTATTTCTATGTGCTTCTCTCAGATGGGCCGTTTACAAGAAGCATCTCAGAAGCTGTTAGCGCCGCACAATGCTCAAATTATACATCATGTATTTGGGTCTCAAAGGGAGGCACTTACCAGAAAATATCCAGAAATCACAGATATTTCACTCACTTGGAGCCGCAGCTCAAGTGAGTTTTTCTCATCATGCAACATTTATTCTTTGGGAAAATGGCACTTCTGCTTGTTTTATATATTCCATTATATTTTACGGGGAAATAACAGTAGTCCCATGTGCTCAAACATGATTATGAATATGTAGTTTAATAAGAAAACTGCTGTTTTTGGTGTCTATGAACTCATAACAAGTTGAAAATCAAGAAGATGTGCATATACAGTGTATAGAAATGAAATGTATACAAACATACTTCATATAAAGACAATTAATAATCATAATGACAGCGTTTTTGCACATTTTTCAAAAATTCCTGACTGATAAATTAGGATTTTCCATGAGTTCTGAAATCTAATTATGTTCGTCCCTGGTACAAAAAAAAAATCATATTTAATGTTTTATCAATTCTCCCTATCTTGCTAAATATAATAGTTCGTCACAAATGTTGTACAATTTATCTAAATCCTAAAAAATGTGTGTTTGCGGATGTGATAGACTGAAATATATAACAATTTATTACAATACGGGGCAACCTTTAATGCATATAGAGTGCTATTTATTACTAAATGCATGTGATTTATATGTTTTGGGCGAGTAATTACACAATGTGTTGTTACCTCCACTCTATGTTATCAATTTAATACTCTGTAGAGGTTTGGCACCATGTTTAAAAAGGTTTATTGGATGTATAAAGAGATCTGGATGCAGTGTTGGAGCTCTCGGTGTGAGAGTGACTCAGTGGAGCATGAAGAACAAAATTGGGAGTGTAAATTAAAAAATTTCCATATCAGGGTCCAGAGAGCGCACTTTAGTTTTCCTAAAGCTCTTCCTTCGATTTCCACTACTGTCCCAGTCGAATGAATGGAGAGAGAACATCTGGACTCAGCTTTTAACCCATTTTACAACGTTCAGACCCTAATGATTTAAATTAGGGCTACAGGATTAGCAAGAATGTACTTTATTGATCCCAAATGTATTGATATTTTGCGTTGCAGCAGCCTACAAAACAAGGCATTGCACATAAGTAGAAATTAAAGAGTAGAAATAAACAATTGTAGAATATAAACATCTAAAAATAGAAATAAAACAGCATTAAAAAGTAGAAAATATACAGTAGACCCTGAAGATAAAAACAACTATAAACTCTGACAACAAAACACTATTAAAGGGCCAATTTTCAGTTAACACAATATAAAGCAGGATATTATTTACATTAAAGGGGACCTATCATGCAAAATGCACTTTTGTACGTCTTTTCTACATGAATATGTGTCCCCGGTGTTCCAGGGAACTCACCAAGTGTCAGAAAACACAACCCTCTCTATTTTCCTCCATACCCAAATCTCTAAAAAAGGGGCTGCAACGGATCTGATAAAAACTGATCCAGATTTGAACACTGTCCTGACGTCAGGACGGTGGCGCTACGGCTATTGGGCCAACTCCACCAATCAGGAGGAGACAGCCACGGCCATTGCCGTTCGAAAGCGCTGGAGACGCTGTAGTACATATGCCAGGCCTGTAGATGGTGCTGTTCTCACTGAATCAGCCCTTGCTAAAACAGAGATAGAAATTGTCAAATTGAGCAAAATGAGGCATGGCTAAAATGCATAATCTGTTTGGTATTTTGAACAAAAAAAAGTATAAATATGCCTTATATAGGTATGGTCCTACACTATATTATTCAAATATAGCATGATAGGTCCACTTTAAACGTGTAGGGAATAGAATATTAAATCAGAAATAATATATAATATATATAATATATAATTATAAAAGTATCAGGTAGTTTATTTAACTAAAGAAAAAGTTGATGTACAGATGTCTCTTTACCCAATGTAAGTCAATGGGGAAAAGTATTTCTGGGCCCAAATGACGTCACAGACAAGAAAGGTGGGTGTAGTACCAACGTGTGGCCACTAGGAAAATGTGCTTAAACGGCCGGCAATCTTCCTTAAAATGTGTATGTACTTAACCTTCACTTA